TCTTTTTTTCTTTTTCTTTTTTCTTTCTTCTTTTTCTCTTCTCACGAAACAACACCCTTACGAATTTCTGAATAAATTTTTACAACGAACACATTGTCAGAAATTTCTTATTAATCATTCTTCGTAAAAAAAAAAAAAAAGGAAAAAAGGATCAAAATATTCCAAAAAAGAAAATTTTTTGCAATGTCCAAATAATATTACAATGGTGGGGAAAGGGGAGTTGGGGATAGGCGAGAAAATATTTATTATGTAACACATAAGTATATAATTTTTCCGATAAACTTAATTATTATATATGATCAAATGGAGGTTAATAAAAAAATCTTTCGAATCGTTCGAACGAGAAAGAAAATTTTTTTTTAATTATAAAAGACATTATATTATATAAGAGTGATCATTTTTTTTATTAAAATAATTGTCGCGTGTAATAATTATGATTTATTTATTTATACTTTTTGTTTTCCTCCGTGAATAATAAATTCGTAAAGGAGAAAAAAAATGCAGAAGGAAAAAAGGAAAAAAAAAAAAAAATAAAAAAGACAAAAAAAAAAAAGAAGAGGCAGAAGAAGAAGTATACAAAAAGAAAAAGAAAAAAAAAGAAAAAAAGGAAGACTAACACGATCCCGTAGAAATATTTTTAAACGGCAGTTACTCTTTCGTCATTGAACAGAAGCGAATGGTAATATTTATTCGTTTTAATCGTTACTATAGTTTTAACAAGCGAACTATCGCGTCATTTCGTGACATCTCGATCTAACGTCAGTATTAACAGTTTGCTTTCATCGGTCGTAGATAATAAATGTACGACAAGAGTAGTTTAACGCCTCCGTTCGATCGTAAGATTCGGTGTCTTGTCGTCTACTAGTGATTTCAATGTACAACACACACATACACACACACACACAGATATATATATATATATATATATATATATGTATAGATACATATATACATAGGTGTTCTTCCTGTTGGCGCCATTGTCTCGCAATTAACATAGCAGACAGCAGTGGGCAGACTAAGAGGTAATACTTTGCATTCGACTTGCGTGGGACATCGAATCCGACATACCACACACTTCTATTCTCAAATCTAATTCCATTAAAGGTATTATCAATTGATTATTGAAAAATAATATAAATCGTTTAATTCGATAGACAGGTAAAATCTGTCACAGTGAATATAATTTATTTTAATTTAAATCGGACAGATTTGATTTCTTTTTTTGCTTTCTTTTTCTTTTTTTTTTTTCTTTTTTTTTTTTCTTTCTTTCTTTCTTTCTTTCTCTTTCGTTGAATCTCTCAATCGTCATTGAATATATCGATCGATACGCAAAAAATTTTTGTTTTGAAAAATCGATTGTTACTTTTCCGAACTTTGCATTTTTTAAAGCCAATGTTTTTCTTTTTTTTTTTTTCCTTTTTTATTAATTAAAAGACTTTTCATGGCTATCCATAACGATATTCGACTGATCTCTCTTTCTATGGTTTTTAATACATATTATTGAACACAGTTATGTGAACAGTTTGAGTGGGTTTTACTGTACTGTTATATAAGGTAACAAATATACTGAGTAACTATATCAGCCCACGGTAAGTAAGCATATCTAAGATCCGGTAATACGTTATGGGATTAATGATATTTATTTGCTCTTTGAAAACGATTATTTATGATTTATTTCGAAGAAAAACAAAAAAAGAAAAAAAGAAAAAGAAAAAAAAAAAGAATAAAAAAAATCTACGCGAGATCTAATCGCATTAAATCTAATTCACGCGTACGTACTTAATCGTGTAATTTATTTTCGAAATTCGTTTTTATTTCGAAATGAATTTTATTTTTTATTCTATTTTTTTTTTTCTTTTTCCTTTTCTCTTTACAAATCATATCTACGATTTAATGTTACGAATATTAATAGAAATCAATGACTATAATCGTGACTATAATTTATTTTCATATAATAATTGAAACGAGATGAAACGTCGGTCTTATTTGTATTAATACATTTAAAAGTTTCAAGGAAAAAGAAAAAGAAAAAAAAAATGTAGAAGAAGAGGAAGAGAGAAAGAGGAAGAGAGGAAGAGGAAGAGGAAGAATATAAAAAGTCGACGAAGGTTTTCCATCAGGTGTTTTATGGCTTAGGATTTTTTTTTTGTTGTCATTTCTTTATTTTCTGTTTTTTTTCTTTTCTTCATTTTAAGAGCCAAATACTTCCCCATCGCGTCGGGTCAGTGGCTTTCTCTCTCTCTCTCTCTCTCTCTCTCTCTCTCTCTCTCACTCTTTCTCTTTTCTTTCCCTCTCTATCATTCACAATGTTGTTTCTTTTATGGCGTGTAAGTGGGAGGAGCAAAGGAGAAGCGAAAGTATCGAGTTTGAAACGATATTCGAAAAGGCCGGAGGACTATTAGTCATAAGGACCACCGTGTGTGTTAGTGGATTTCTCATATATCGATATGCCAGTCCTAACTGGACTTTGTAAACACCTTATCGTTAACGTGCCAGAGAGCTTTGGACCCTTTAAAATAATAATCCCTCGAACTACTCATTCATGATACGTGACTGAACATGAAAATTCTTATGAAATCGTAAGTAATCATCATTATGTCTCTAATACCTCATCTCTCTCTCTCTCTTTCTCTGACTATATAGGTATATATATATATATATATTTATCTGTCTGTCTAACTTATTTCTTCTTTTCTTTTTATCTTATGTTTTAAAGTGCACGAGAAAAGAAAAGAGAACGATCGAAAAAAAATTCCAAGACGTTATCGAAAACTACAAACAACAATTGAAATATCATTGATATGATTATTTTTCGGTAAGTATGAAAGAAATGTAAACCAAATATTATTAAAAGGAATGGAAAGAAAAATAATAATCCTCTGTATAATTATTATTCTAGTATGTGAAAGCAGTCTTGAAGAGAATTCATTGTTACAAGGATGGTCAACATTGGAAATCAGAGAAATATTCGAAGATATAATTCGAAGAATTGGAAATGAAAAAAATTGCTGTTCAAAGGATATGAACTATTATTGGACATCGTTGGACTTCATCAAACAAACTTGAACAAGAGGATTGCAATGAATTTCGACATGATGTATATAATTGGATAACGCAATTATTTTCAAATGCGATGTAACAAAATAGAATACTCGAATTGTGAATAATAACATTATGTACAAACTATAGGTTACAGATTATATTACATCACATTACATTACATTATATTACACTACATACATATATATTTTATTGTGATCAACATATTTTCTGTATATTATACTAAAAGTGAAAATAAATATTTAAAAATCATAAAATTCAATGTGTTCTCTATTAAATTCTACCTATATTACATCTATCCTTATCCTGATATCTAATTATCTTCTATATAATAAGCAAAACTTAACGAAAATAAGACTAGAATAACTTATATACTAGTTTTATCCTACATAAATTAGAACAGAGTGTAGTACGATGATACCATTCTCGCCTACAAATCCAGCGATCTCGGTTCGAGACACACCAGAGAGCAAAAATATTTTATATAAATTCCAGAATATTTCTTATTACATTCTAGAAATTCACGTTCATCTTTCTTCACAAATCAAGTAAAAGCATAACATTACAAGTAGAGAGATTCGCGGAAAAAATTTTCCAGAGCTATCCATAGTTAAAATTTTCGGTTAGGAGAAATATAACTTTTTAAACAAAAGAATAATATAACTTTTCAAGAGGCGGCACGCGCGAAATCGTGCCACCTCTTCCTACATCATGTGATCCTGTTACAAATCTATATTTGCGGGAAAAATTTTCGCGGTTCTCCATAATTTGAATTTTTGAACAGGAGAATATAACTTACCTGGAGGTGGCACGATTCAGCGCGCCACCTCTTTCTACATCATGTGATCCTGTTACAAATTCAGTTTTACGGGAAAAATTTTCGCGCTCCCAGTAATTTGAATTTTTGAACAGGAGAATATAACTTACCTGGAGGTGGCACGATTCAGCGTGCCACCTCTTCCTACATCATGTGATCCTGTTACAAATCTATATTTGCGGGAAAAATTTTCGCGGTTCTCCATAATTTGAATTTTCTAACAGGAGAGTATAACATACCAAGAGGTGGCACGATTCAGCGTGCCACCTCTTTCTACATCATGTGATCCTGTTACAAATTCAGTTTTACGGGAAAAATTTTCGCGGTTCTCCATAATTTGAATTTTTGAACAGGAGAATATAACTTACCTGGAGGTGGCACGATTCAGCGCGCCACCTCTTTCTACATCATGTGATCCTGTTACAAATTCAGTTTTACGGGAAAAATTTTCGCGCTCCCAGTAATTTGAATTTTTGAACAGGAGAATATAACTTACCTGGAGGTGGCACGATTCAGCGTGCCACCTCTTCCTACATCATGTGATCCTGTTACAAATCTATATTTGCGGGAAAAATTTTCGCGGTTCTCCATAATTTGAATTTTCTAACAGGAGAGTATAACATACCAAGAGGTGGCACGATTCAGCGTGCCACCTCTTTCTACATCATGTGATCCTGTTACAAATTCAGTTTTACGGGAAAAATTTTCGCGGTTCTCCATAATTTGAATTTTCTAACAGGAGAGTATAACATACCAAGAGGTGGCATGTTCTCGCGTGCCACCTCTTTCTACATTATGTGATCCTGTTACAAATCCAGATTTGCGGGATATTTTTCATCTCTCTGTGTAGTTAGTATTTTTAAACTAGAGAATATAACTTACAAGGAGTTGAGAAGGTTTTGAGGTGTAGTTAATGAAAAACACATTTGGTTTCTATTAATATAAAACATTTTTATTTATATTTTTTTCGTCTGGAATACATGAGGAGTACATTGCATTCAATAATTATACAACCAATCCCTTTCGATATTGATAATTTTCAGTATATTGTAATATAATATAATATGTGCATTATAAAAATTATATAATTATTTGTGAGATAACGCATACAATGCATTGTTTGTCGTTAAGAATAGCTATAATGCAGTTTAACTCTCTCTTTCTCTCTTTTTTTGTCTCTCTCACACACTCTCTCTCTGACACACACACACACACACATACACACATACACAATCTCTGTCTCTCTCATTTTTTCTCTTTCACAATGTTTTATTTTACAGATAATTGCATTTTATAATGTTACAAATGATTTCCGATTGTTCCATATCCTCTTGATGATAATTCTGTATTCTTTTAATTTTGTATTCTTTGTGTCTCTTAAATTGATGGTCCGATGATTTCCAAGTGTTCCCATCCTTCTGATAAGATTTCATGCTGCTTTGATGAACTCGAAGAATAATTATATTATCCAACGAAGTGTACCATGAGTCATATTGAAGTTAAACGATTTGTCGTCCACGGACAGTTGACTTCCGTGCGTGTGCCTTCATATGGGACTCCTTTGTCTTGTACAATATTCTTCCCCCGTCAATCTCCGGTCAATCTGAACGTTATTTCTCTTCCTATGAATTATTATTAATACGATGATAACGAGCTCGTATTCTCATAGTATTTAATGGATGATCCTGTTCAGTCAAACGAGAGGCACTCTCGATAAAAAAACACTTGGTTTCTTAAATCTCAATGTAGATTATCTCTGTAACAATACGAAATAATAGAATTAAAAAAAAAAAAAAAGGAACAAGTACTAAGTAAATATTAAAATTATTGAAAAGAGATCGATAATCGATATTTTATTGTAACGTTAACATAAAAAAAGAAAAAAAGAAGAAAGAAAAGAAAAAAGGAAGAGAATAAAAAATTGATTTAAAAGAAGTAGTAAAGAAATATTGTAAAATTGTGAGAAAAGATTGCATTCGCGTTATGATATTGATAAGAAAAAAAAAAAAAAAAAGATAAAAAAAAAAGAAGATATTTGCAAAAAGACTGTTAAGGGAATTTTCATGATCTCTAAAAAGGATCGTAGTCGTTGTAGCACTCTATCTGCTTCTTCGTCATCGGTCCTTCTAATTTCTCTTTTTCTCTCTCTCTCTCTCTCTCTCTCTCTCTCTCTTTCTCTCTTTATCTTACTCACGCACAAGCGTATATACAAAAGCAGAGATTTCTCGTTGGAGTCTTCTTAAGACCGAGCACGAGTGACTGATGACGACGGAAATAACTCTGTTCTATCTTTCCTTAGTACGAGTCCACGTGTGTACCGTAAACTTGCTGGGACGTTCCAGCGATTTGCATGGAAAACATCCTATATTTATATGAAACTATAACAAATATAGAAAGAAATATACAGAGAGAGAGAGAGAGAGAGAGAGAGAGAGGAAAAAAGATAGAGAAAAAGAGACATAAATAAAATTTCTCAGAGATACAAATTATCTATCCTTACCTTTAAGAAACGTCGAATCGCGATCGTCGTTTACGTTTCCCAAGAGAAAGCATCTTCATTTTGGAGTTAAGAGGAAGTTGTTAGCTCGCCAGAGATGACCTCATGCTTCCGGGAACTTAGCTCTGATGTTAGCTGGCAATATTGTATAATCTGTCATCTTTCTCTCTCTCTCTCTCTCTCTCTCTCTTTCTCTCTTTCTCTTTCACTGCCTTTTTTATCTTCTTCTCTCTTATCCCTCGTTGCAGCGTTTATCTGCAACTATGAATAATAAGTTAAAAAAGAGAAAAGAAGAAAAAAAAAAAGGAAAAAATGGTGGAAGAAAAAAGAGAGGGGGAAAAAGAAAGAAGGAAAGGGAAAAAGAAGAAGAAGAAGAAGAAAAAAGAAAAGCAAAAAGAAAGAAAGAAAGAAAAAAATAGAGAATCTCGTTATTAATGTTCAATGAAAGATCATTTTTTACTTTAATTCATTGAAATTGCATTGAATGAAATGAGAAGTATGAATTGAATTGATGAAAAAAAAAAAAAAAAAAAAAAAAAAAGAAGAAGAAGATGAACGTTGTGCTATGACGAATATCATTTTTTTTATCGGTATAATAAAATTTAAATATACGTTTTATAATATATACGTATCTCGTTTATATTCCATTCGAAATAAGATTATCGATCAAGCTCGATCGCTATCGATGATTCTCAAATGCTTTTTTCTTTAACCTGATAGTTAGTAGGCAGGTTGGTTGATGTAGCCAAGAATGCGTTCGATATCGTGTTGTTGAAATCAAGTCAAGAGGAGGAAACTATATAACCACCGATATTCACGATAATCGGTCCCTCACTCCTTTTTTCTTTTTTTTTTTTTTTTTTTTTTTCTTTTTCTTTCTTTCTTTCTTTTTTTTTTCAAGAGAGCGAAAAAGAAGAGAAAAAGAGGAAAGGCGAACGGTGGGAAGGAAGGCGGGAGGGGGATGGGGAGGGCAAAAAGGAACGAAGAGCAACAAGTAAAAAAAAAAAAAAAAAAAAAAAGAAACACAAACACAAAGAAAAAGAAAGAAAAAAGAAAAAGAAAAAAAGGAAGAAAGAAAAAAAGAAACCGGGGTGAAGAGGGGAGGAGGAAGAGGAGGAGGAGGAGGAGGAGGAGGAGGAGGAGGAAGAAACACGAGAAAATACGATCGATCTGGAATACCTCATCTCCTTTTCTTCTCTCTTTAGCTTCGAGGCGTCGACGTCGTTCAAACCCCATCATCATCATTTTGACTTGATACTCGAGAATACATTCGGCCGGTCCGAGCGCATGCGCGCGAGCTATTATCTTTTGAAGCTACAAAAAAAAAAAAAAAGAAAAAAGAAAGAAAAAATTAAAAAGGGAAATAAAGAGAAATAAAGAGAAAGTAAAAAAGAAACAAAATCAAATCAAAAGCCATTTTTCAATCGACTTCGATCATAATCATACGAATGAAAATATTCTAATTATAAATTACACGTAAATTTATATATATATATATATATATATATATATATATATATATATATATATATACATTGATCATTATCATTATCTTCATTGCTATTATTATTATTATTATTATTATTATTATTATTATTATTATTATTATTATTATTATTATTATTATTATTATTATTTAAAAAATGGAGTAAGTATTAATTTACAAGTCTGATTTATATACATATACATATATATATATATATATTACATACATTATTTACATACATTCGAATAAATCATTTGCATATGTAAATCAATAGGATGATGTAATTCGAAAGGTTTCGATTCGTTGTTAGTTGTGAAGAAAGAGTAAATAAGAAAGAGTAAATCAGAAAAAAAGAAAGAAACAAATAAAATAAAAAAATAAATAAAACAAATAAAACAAAACAAAGAACACCAAAAAAAAAGAAAAAAAAAAAAAATTAGGTAGCATATAATCTCGCGTTTCTCGCGTGCCTTAACACCTATATATATATATATATATATATATATATATATTACTAGTAAGAGAGAACGTTACTCTAACCTGTTCGCGGGCGTGCTCACTCTTCTCTGGAACCTCCTGCGAACCTGTTCGATGCTTTCACGATCTCTTCTCCTGGCGCGTTCTCGCGACCACAGCAACCTGTTTGCGCCTGCGACTTGCTTGGATCGATGATCTTACCTTGCCTTTCTGTCAAAACCTATCGCCTGCGTATCGCTTCCTTCGATCTTTATCGACTAAGAGAGAAGAAAGATTATCTTTTGAAATATCTTTAAAGAGAAAGAGAAAGAGAGAAAGAGAAAGAGAAAGAGAGAGAGAGAGAGAGAGAAAAAGAAAATTATTATTATTATTGTTATTATTATTATTATTACTATTATTATTATTGTAAAAATGGAGCAGGTATTAATTTACAAGCTTTGAATTACATACATTACCAATGTTCTTTATATGCCTATGTAAATCCCCAAAAAGAAAATTATTACGAATTTATTACTTAAATACCAATTGCTTAAACAGAAATGACAATTATTATTATTGTTATTATTATTGTTATTTGTTATTGTTATTGTTATTGTTATTGTTATTGTTATTGTTATTGTTGTAAGAACAGAGTATCATTTTACAGTTATAATTTGTTTAATAATCTCTATTGCAATTCTTCTTTGTCTATCTACATATAAATCTTCTATAAAATTTTAATGAATATATTTTGTCATAAATCTTATCTAACACTATCGTTAATTATCCATCTATAAGTAAGAATCCTGGAAGAGATCGTTAAGGGACGATTATTACAGGTTTGAGAGGAGAACGATATGAAAGTCTATTAAAAACATAGCTTCCATATATATATATATATATATATATATATATATATACACACATAACTAAACATCTAATCTTATTTATTTTCTATTTTGTTTCCAGGTCAAATCGGTCCACACGGGACAAGCAAAAGCCTAAAGAATAGCGGTCTCTTTCCGTCAACCTTTAATGTCGCCGCTAAAGCTGAAATATTTGTTAATGCAACCTGCGGCGAGGATGGGCCAGAAACTTTTTGTAAACCTTCGGAATCGTCGAGATGTGCCGTCTGTGATTCGAGAAGTCCTGACCCAGGAAAAAGACACAATATCAGCCATGCCTTAGATTCTAATCCCGGTAGATGGTGGCAAAGTCCTACCTTAGCTAGAGGAGATAATTACGAATACGTCACTATACTTCTCGATCTTAAACAA